TTAATGAACGCTACTACTGTAGCAAGTGAATTTCTGTATCCCGTCGATCCGAGATAGCTGCAAACGAGTAAGCGCTGTCCTTGCTAATTCTTGTATTTCTTCTCGCTTATTAAATGATCAATAACCACTCCCATTACAGCCTTGTGTGCGCACATTCTAATTTCAAACTACCTTTATATGGCAGTGTAGTTAAATCTGTAATTGCCCGAACCGACGATTCCATTATCGCTTTATCTATCTTTTCTCACTCTAACCACCCTACAGGACATGTCAAGCACCCGCTTTTTCACCCGTTATAAACCACCGTTCATTGTTCGTTTCTCATCCACATTGATGATGCATGATGTTAAAAGTGCACCTACCCGGGTACATAAAGCCCAATTTACTTGAATTGTGTAAAGCGCAAAATGAAGGTTGACTCAAGTTCAATGTCCGCACCTCCAACTCAGATGTTACCGAAGATCATTTGTTATTGCGCCAGCCTGCATTACATGATACGTTTGAAGATACTAGTTTCACCAGTTCGCCGAGGTTCGTAACTGGTTCGCAAACGTGTCATCACCAAAAGAGAGAACTTTTGCAATGCGCTACTGGAACAACTGTATTCCGCTGATTTGGTAGTAGATTTACGCTTAACTAGCAAGTGATATTTTAATTGATTTCCTCTGTCTGTACCCAGGGACCACCTCGTCTGCCCAAGTTCTTTGAGAGAAACGGACCATCCGTTAGCTGACTTTGCTCTGGCTATTGCGGTTGTGTTGTTGCTGGCTCGTTTGGTTGCCGACGACTGTTTTTAAGTGTTTTAATTCTTCCATCTTAATATTTGTTAAGCTGGGTCAATCTCGATGTGCTTGTTTATCCAGGGATTCGTCGAGTAATATGCTTCGAGGAGCTCTCTTTCCTTTCTTGTGTCAGCTTGTGTTAGGATCATTGTTTTAGTCCAATCAAAGCGATGTCTTTGTTTTTCCGTATGTAATAAAACTGAGACAGTGTAATTGTTCCTATCAAGCTCTTAATTTTTGTGTCCGGGTTGACAGTCGCCTTCTTCTCTGTCCCCCATAGTTTTCAGCGCGATCTTGAAACCGGATATTGTAAGCAACATTTCGTCTTTCTTGGGCTCCATATTTGACTCTGGGTTTCCTAATGGTCTTCCTCAAATTGGCAGTTGGTTTGTGAACCACTGTAAGACCGTGCTGTTTAAAGCATCTTGCTGTCATCAATGAGCTGCTATTTACATTAGGTAGAACAATCCTCTTTGGTGGTTGTTCGAGCTCAAAGCTATGGTATCATTCGAAATGACCGCTGCCTTTACATCTGACAATTTACAGACTACACAGCGCTCAACCAATGAACGGATGAATAAAATCGAGAGAACATTCGGAAGTCCGATGAGCAACAACTTGTGCAAGCTACTTGACCTTTGCCTCTCGACCCACTTCATTTTCGATGGACAAATCTATGGATAGGAGAAGTGAGCACCGATGAAATCCCCAGAGTCAGGGCAAGTTGCAGAGATATTAATGCAGAAACTAGGCCACCTCCATACCTAACTACGCTTCCGCATTCATGAGACTTTTCTTTTGACTCAGTCAAACAAACACACTGCGGCACATTCAAATAATACAAAATCAGCGCCCAGGCTTTGATGTGCAGACGTGCAATCATCCACTCCATGATTTTGCAGCAAACTAGTCGTTTGCTTCGTCATGTACATCGGTCTCGTTCGTCTATTTTCATAATCGTATCACACTTATTTTCATGCACAACATTTTGTGTGAATAAGAGTTTTGCATTCAACAAGTCTTCTGGGCACATTCACCACACTGTTCAGGCGACATAGAGGATCAAATTGCACTTATAGCTTAAGGGAACAAAATTGTGATGGTTTGTATACTAACAAGTACTAATGTTCTTCCTGTTGACCTGCCTTTTGATGGATCATTCCGCTCACTAAATCCACAAGACATTAAGATGGAAAACCCTCTTCTGTTTCTTTTGCATAACTAAACGATATTAGTGTTAAAGGGGCCAAGAACTTCATCCCGGTCAATGTGTTGATCTACGACAATAAATACGTCATCCTCATGGTGCGGCAGCCTATTTTAGCCCTAATTATTTCATTAGAATATCCGGCAACAACTACTCTGGGGGTCACGTGGTATAGACCTATAGACGATCTAGGCACGATAACTATATACCCCCCAAAGCGGCCCAAGACCACGCCCCAGGACTACGTAAATTTCCTGCAACCCCCACCCCTCACCCGGCACTGAGCTTATACGGACTCCGCCAACCAACCACAGGTACTAACCCCCAGTGACACACACTATTCGCGCGCCCTAGGTAGACGCCTGGTGTCCATCACCTCGTGCAGTCCACCCTCACCCTATGCAGAAGGCCACCTACCATGCTGCTCTTGGCGCTATGGCGCGCCCATGCGCCACATGATCCTGACGTATACAAGCCGCGCACCTTCAGCAAACGTCAACCGACGACCCTCTTGCCCAACCCCCCCCCCAACCCCCCCCTCCAGGTAATTTTATGAAAACTCACCCCGACCTCAGCCGTTTGACAGTACACAACCCCAGTTCCCCAACTCCCCACGTACCCTCAATCTTGCACAAAATCCCCCATGTCTAACCGTCACCAGCACCCCAGGTTACTGGTTCCTAACGCATTGCCCGCAAACAACCGTGCTCGTATATACGACCTATCAAAATCATCCCCCCAAACCCCCGAATGAACCGCAACCCACACAAGACACAACAACAACACCACCGCCGCAAGTACAACACACTCCTACGTGTGCGTGAACACTGCGCGAAACCACCCCCAGCAGCCCAACTTTTCCAAGGACCGAACCGCCGCACACCTGACCGTGGTCAAGCACAAGATGACATCGTAACCAAGGAACAACTTTCAGGCTAGATTTAACCGCGTTTGATATCAAATTTTGTTGTATTAGGCTTATGAATCCCGGTCCCCTTAACCATATTCTTTCGCCCATTCCGTCGATACCCAGTTACAATGGACCAGACGCCCTTTACCCGAGTTTATACCCCTAGCCCCCCCCATCGCTGTGATATAGCTGTATTCACCCATTACTGCTACTACAATCAGGCAGACATAGGCGCCCAGGGGGGGGGCTCCACTGGCTACATAACTCAACACCCGTATAACAACTCCACTCAACCCTAAGTTCACTACCCACCTGTATTTCTAACCAAAACACTAGGACGTACACGCAATCTACCCAGAATTTTGCACAGACCGCCCAGTGTGAATACATTATCCGATCCAACAAAATTACCTCATTAATTTTTCATCGAGGCTAGCAATGGGGCCTTATGGCACTTGCTGATGTAGAGCAGGGGGCATAATCCGGTACACCCCAGAACCGACAACCCCACCTATCCCAACCCCATTCAACACCACCCATCAAAATCCACCACCTCACCAGATCGCCAGTAGGCAACGCGCACCCTATACAATCGTTATACAAGAGGAGTGACAAAAGCTTACAAACCACAATTAGATATAAGCTCAGGTCGTGTAAACAACACAGCTCAACTAGCGCGTAAGAATGACATAACACGAACAAATTTAAGGCCAGACACAACAGCCCAAGTCATACACGAAAAGCATACACGCCGACACTGCCCAATGTCCGCAACGTAACCAGACCGGGCACAATCTCGATATAGTGACAAACCCGCCACGCCCGCCCAACGCGACGTCGCGATCAATAACTGCCCCCGCCCAGAACAAAGCGGGCATACATCAATGAGCCATTAGATAAATATACTAGAATATTCTTGCCAGCGAGGTTAACACTAAACCGCACCTGATAAAAATGCGCAATGTGCCTGAACTCCCCGGCTCACAACACACATGCGCCCAACCTCGACTTACTGGCCACTCACCGCAGATGTGGCCCATGGGAGTGGGAGGTCCACGCAAAGACTGATACTAGCAGTGTCTTCTTATGATGTGATATGTCTGCTTCATTGGAATAGAGATTCGTAGATCATAGGGAATCGGCAGCTTGCATTGAGTCTGCCAGTTGTCAGCAAACCGGTGTCGCGGTGCAATCCTACAGAGTAACGGATACAAGTAGAAACAACCCAAAAACCAACAGTATACATGATTGTCAAAAGTAATGAACCTCCTACACACCCTCAAATTCGTCCTCAAGAATCGTGTATGGCCTCAACCCACACATCGCAGGTCACGCCTACAAAGCAAACGAATTCAGCAGTGGTGTGAACAACCAACAGTTGAGTCCCCGGCGCAACCACCCGAACCCAACAAGCTTTGTCCGCGAACCTAACCCACACAGGTCAAGTCATGCAGGCAACGAAGACGGCCCAGTGCCAATCCACCCTAATCGAAGAAAATCCCGGGCCCACCGTCCTGGTCATGCCACACGACCAGCCCCCATGTGCGGCACTTCGCATACATGTGTGACAAGGGAAACCAGAGGTCCCCGAATGTAATCCAGTCTGAGGTAGGACGCACCAACGAATCTAAGAGAGCACCAAGCGAACGTCCACGTAAAAACCCACAATCTGCCCCACGAGAATGTTCCGCCACGTCCACAACGCCACCCCCTGATCCACAACCCACCCCGTCGCCCACCCATGTTGCCCCTAAGCAACCTCAATCCGCAGCCCGCTACACCCGACGACCAAACACTACGAGGGCGGACTACCCAAAAACCAAAACCCCCCCTACCCAGCACCGTCCCCCTGGCTGACGCTGAGGCGTGCATCAGAGACTATGTCCCCCAGATATTGTGACATTACAACTACAACACGTATAATTAAACCCAAAGCCTGAGCTTTGGGACCCAATCAACATACCTCCCAAAGACCCTGAGCGGAAGACGATAGTGACCAGTCAACCGATAAACCAAACGTGGCATACGTATCACGGTACAGACAACGATGCGTCTTATAACGAGAATACAAGTCGCAAACGCTTCGAACTTAAACCGGGACTTAACCCCCCAGGAGCCCCCGATAATGGTACCAAGGCTCAACCTCACCACAGCTAGAGATCAGTAAACGGTGCACGGCCGCTCCCACAGGAAATAAATTCACAGGACTGGTTTTATCGATAGTTGGAGGCTGCCCACCATCTACCCAGTTCGTCATCGAAGGCATTCTCAAGCGGTTGTGCATGAAAGATGCGGACGGTTGAAGTACTTCGCAATCGTCGTGACTGTGTGTGTGGCCACCGTCACTACCAGATGAATTTTGGGATGAGTGTATTTTCTCTGCTACTTGTATCCCTGGTCTGTTCATCATCATATGGGCGTCCATGGCTTCATCGGTAGTTGAAACAACACGACTGAGGCCACGTCGTGCCGTGGTCCAAGACTCGAAGCTTTCTTCCACCAACAGGATTTGACTCTTTCGAGTACTACTCAGTACTTCTCGATCTATCCGATTTGTGTCGACATCTTCCCTTGAGTTGGCACCAACACACAGAACAGATGTGGAATCTCTTTCCATACTGTTTACAATCGATGACTGGACCCTGGCCACATCGTTGGTACACACTTGTGGCTGCATCAAATACCCTCGTTCTCTTCCATGTGTATGATGACACTTGAACAGAGGAGCCGAACTGAGGTTAGCAACACTTGTGTCCAGTGTAGTATTTAAATTCTGCCTTTTAAACTTCATTCTTCTGTTCTGAAACCACACCTGTGAAAACAAGAGAGGGTGGGACAAGTACTTAGATTTCAGCCGTATCAGCCGTGTAGAAAGTATCCAGCAAGATGGTTATATTAGTGCTCTTCAGACAAAATTGATGAAAATTAAAAAGACATCACGTAATCATGAGAATTGGTGATTTGGTCTGATTTAACTATTCGTTGCAACCCATATGAACATCTGATACCAATGTCAAAACCCGCCGCTTCAAATTGAGTGCGCAGCTTACTACTAATGACCGTATTATTAGAAATGATGAAAGGTTGGTGGAATCAGTCTTAAAAGTCCCATTAATAGGTAAGAAACATTTGTTTAACTGCATCGATAAAGGGCCCGGAACAGCCAACGAAGAGATACTAGCGAAAAGTGCCTGACTCCGACGCTAATTCTATAAAGACAATCTCCGAGACGACTGAAATCTATAAGATTCCATGTGTCAAGTAACTGTGGTCCAAGATAAAACAGACAGTACGATGCGCCTCGTCGCTCGTCCAAATTCGGTATACTACGTTGAACCACGGCTACTCCAAGCAACATTTTATTCAAATGATGTGGTGGTCGATCGCATGATAACCACTCGTCTCCAAACTACTCCATCTGTTGTACGCATTTTTTCAAATGTTCTTTAGTGCGAACGTCAGAAGCCCAAACAAAAGCCAAATGGCTGCCACGCACAAAATAGGTCAAATCGATCCTTGTCCATGATGTGTCCGAGCTTCGGAAATCAAGCGAGATAAATGCTCGAGCACGTGAGGCGTTCATTTCCCCCTAAAGGTAACTTAAAAGATTCCGCCTCAAGGTTGCCATTGTCATCGGACTACAAAGGGTGTGATTTCGAACCGAGAGCATAACTGCTGCTTGTAATAAGACATAAAATCGCAGGAAGCTGTCATTCAAGATACATATAAGAGCGATGTGCACCCAGCAATAAATAGACAAGGTAACGCTGAACAAGTAGCTCACATGTGCGACGCAGGTAGCACACCGCTCAGAACCAGGACGCTATCAATAGCATCAGAAAGCTGAAGGAGTTCCAGGTAATCAGCCCCTTGCTGACACTTAGCCTCCTATTCAAAGACGCGTAATGGCCCCTGGGGCCTGCGTCGATGGTCGAACAAAACAAGACTGGCATCCGACCCCAAAATTGTCAGGATAAACTCTCGTCTGAAATCCGCGTCCACAAACGCGCCTCCAAGGTCGCCTCTATTTTTTGCGTTCATTAATGAACTTACGCATCTAATCGCTTCCGAATTCTTGCTTTTCTCTGAAGATGTTAAGAAGGGGTGGGCATTCCCCGACCAAGGAGATAACAGTGCATTCCAACGAGGCCTGAACAGGATGTACGGGAGATGTTCAAAGAAAACGCTTGGAGCAGCGCGCCACGGCTACCGAACGCATGTGGAGAATTGATAAGACAACAAATTGCCATCAACCACCTATCGCACTAAAGGTTAGTTGGTGAGCTACAGCCGCTGTAGTGAGCACCTGCACAGGCTTTTCGTCGGATTAGTGCCAAAGAGACAATGGAAGATCTTGAAGAACTAGGAGGGTTTGTGTGAACTTTTACTACAAACTTAACAAACTTTTACGGAGACATTTCATTTGCATATGGGGAGGACTCTATCACTCGCAAGCAGTGCTACAAGTGATTTATGTGTTTTAAACCCCGCAGAATGTCAGTGGGTGGCACTCCCAAGCTCGGAGAACCTACCACATCAACAGACAATGACCATGTCGAGAGGACTTGTGCTGTGTTCCGGGAAACGGTAGTTTAACTGTTCGAGACGTTGGTGACTAAGTCGGTATCAGCATACGTTCATGTCATCGAAGTCTAGCGTGTTGGGAGAAGTGCTGGCAGCAGAAAGAGGTCTGAATTGTTGGGAAAACCAGACTTGGATGATGCATCATGACAGTGCGCCGGATCACACATCGTTCCTTGTATGCAGCTCTCTAACATAATATTGCAATTTTGTTTTCGCCTCATCCATCGTATTCTCCAGACCTAGCATCTGTAGACTTTCCTGATTCTCAAACCAAAAACCACGTGTAAAGCACGTCATTTCCAAACCGTACAGGTAGCTCAAGAAAATGCAACAAGAGACCCGCGCGGCATCCCGGCAAGTGGGTTCCAGGAGACTTTACAGAAACGTACGTACCGTGCGGAACGGTGTATCACCAATAGAGGAAACTACATTGAGGGGGGAAGGGCTTAAACTGTTGTGTAATGAGCAATAGCATGTTACAGCAAAAGTTCGGTTTTTTTCAACACCCATCATATGAATGGTCATTGCACATGCTTCTACAGTGTAATTGTCCAGATGTAAGGCGGTTCACATTTGTTACCTGCTAAGTACCATAAATAGCAGGCAGTCATTTAGGAGCGCTACCTTGGGATATTAATCCAGGCTTATCTGGGCTGCTCAGATGAATCAGAGCAGGCGTCAAATACTGGGAACCAACACGTTGGCATGCTGCGGAGTGCCTTCTGGCAGTTCGCTCTGCATGTCTGTTCTCAGTTGAGTAACACACGTGCGATGTCATTTGCCATACTCAAACCAGGCCTGGCACAAGCGAGATCAATCAGTGAAGAGCTCCCCTTCAAAGGTTCGTATAACCTTTCAAATCAACGTAAACAGATAGCGCTACGAGTGTATATCGATCATTTAGAATGGCATACCAGAGTCTTAGAAACCTCAACCTTACTGTAAATCAGTCGCCATAAAATACACTCGCTAAACTGGCGCCGAAACTGACACTCTCTTTCTCTGTCAGGCAAGCAATGCCCTCCTAAATTGAGTTGTTTCCGCCTCCAATTATAGTTCTGGCACAACTGATCATCTGTGCTTAAAGAAAGTCTCGACGTTGCCCTAACCCAACTACATTAGGATATATAGCCTGTTTGTATCGATAGGCAATATAATAAATGAAGCCATGGGTATATTTCCCGACGAGCATGATGCGTTCACTTTGGTAAAACGATCATTTGGAGAATGTTTCACAACCAGCATTAACTTACACAAGAGTGCTTGGCTCTTGTATTCTTGCTTCCGCGTGAACTCGCGGATGATTACCTCATGATTCTTTTCGTTTTATCAGCTTTCTTTTCATCATTTTCTGGTGAATATTCTGCTAATCGTACGGAGTTTGTTAAGCGGTTGCTGTTTTACCCGTAGTAAACTATTGCTGCAGAAAACTACGGGTAAGGTCCTCTTAGTACGTTAGCTAAACTTTGTACTTGTCAGGTTTCAATGCTTTGTGACTTTATTATAGTAAACGAAACATGATTTCTTACTGAGAACACTGATGCTGAGGTGGCTCTACCCTGCACGAACCTCCTACGAAGCCATTGACCCAACATATGAGGCAGAGTAATCTTATAGTATCGACCTGACTGCATATCGACATTAGCTACGATCGTGATGCGCTAGTTGTCGATTCATTTTGGTGCAATCCGCACCTGAGACGCGGGGTTGCGTGTACAGTAGCATTAGTTTACCCCAACAAAGCTTCACTTTAGATTTGGATAACCTCCTAGCTCCTGCGATGAAGCGAGTCTTGGTACGGCTATACTGTCACCTTCTCTGGTGGAGAAACCTCAACACTCTAGCAACTAAAGTCCCAGTTCCGATTGATGCGCAACTCAAGGACCACTTGTGAGAAGCAATTGCCGATGGCTGTCATACAAACAGGTTACATCTCCCGAGCGCGTCTGCACTAGTTACGCGTTATCTGTTTTCTATCAGTTGCTAACCAACGATGGATCCATAGTCAACACTTTAACTATAGATGCACGGCTTTTCCGCAGCGATCATGCAATTGTACTCTTCTGTTGCATATACTAAGCGGAAGAAACCGATGGGAGCAATGAGTAAGTCCATAACATCACCCATTCTAACGTACTGTGGAACCTCGCTCAACAAATCAACTGGTCTTCAGTGGCTGGACTCCTGCCCGATGTCGCGCGGAGGTAAATGACACCCATTTCACCGAACTAGTGTCAAACACGTCGGAAACTGAATCTTCCTCCCGAAGTAGATGAAGCCTTTCCCCAGGAGCCAGACTGGAATATGCGTGGCCTTAAAGGATTCAGTCTGGAGCGCGCATAAAAGCCTGTCCGAACATGCACGCTCAGGAAGCATACAAAACACAACGAAAACACGGCATCGAATTGGTCCGCGAAGACCCATTCGATTACCAACAAGACTTATAGAAGAAATGCAGTAATAAACAGAAATGCTTCACGGGCACCTCAAGAAGCTACTTGCAGTGAAGCGCAGAATCCTAGTCTTAATTGTAGCCGATGGCCTGGCCCTAACTATACAAGGAGCGGCAAACGCGCTTCTACAACCGTTCAAACACACCTTCCGGTGTGGATGGTCATCTAGCTCTCATTTGACACAACTCTCACAATCAAAAGGTTTAAGCTACGTAACCTTCGCAGCTAAGAGTTTGAGGAAAAGACCACGTTCCTTGGGTGCGCCTGTATTTGCTGGCACAAACGATAGAAGATCATGGGCAGTAAAGACAATGGCAATTAATACTACCGAAATGTTAGCATGGTAATTTAAACAATGCCCGGATTAAATATACTTGCGTAGAATGTGGAATCATAGAATAGTCACGGAATATTCACGCACATAATCAGGACCGGCAATCGTGCGGTGGCCTAGAACTACCGCTTAATCACCTTCCTCCAGGTACTGTCCAAGTTTATGGAAGATATCATGACAGCAGCACTATTGGGTTACCTTGCGAGTAATAACATCACAGTGCCGCACCAACACGAATTCCGCCGA